TTTGGATTTTTCAGATATAGCATTTACAACCAAACACTCGAAAATATGAAATGTTGGGCTTTCTACCTTTGTAAAGCTCATAGGGGTTTTCTCAAGAATGGGTCCGAGAAAAGCTCGTTAATGATATAAGCATGTCGTAAAAACCGCATCCGCCCGTAAATAAAAGGAATTTTGCTTTCAATCAGCAAAGTTCTTGCCATTTCTTGCAAAGAACGATTTTTCCTTTCCACAACACCATTTTGTTCGGTGTATAAGGAGTAGAAAATTGTCTTTGAAAGCCATTTTCCTCACAAAAATCTGAAAAACTTTGATTTTCAAATTCTCCCCCATGATCAGTTTTAATGCAGGAAATGGAATAGCCCATTTCATTCTGAACTTTTTTTGCAAATTTTGAAAAATATGAAAATGTTTCATTTTTATGAGCAAGAAAGAACACCCAAGTAAATCTTGTGAAGTCATCAACAATGACTAAACAATATTTCTTACCACCAATACTTTGTGTTCTGGTTGGTCCAAATAGGTCCATATGAAGAAGCTGCAAAGCACGATCTGTGGAAACATGATGTATAGACTTGAAAGAACTTCTTACTTGTTTTCCTAGAGTGCAGGCATTGCATAACTCTGTTTTCTTGTATTTCAAATCTGGTAGACCTCGAACCAGTTTCTTGTTTGAGATCTTTGAGATTTGTTTCATACTGATATGCCCCAGTCTTCTATGCCATAGATCTTCATCCTCTTTGATTGAGATCAAGCAATGAGTGGAGTTTGGATTGACATCTAGAAGATAGATATTGCCATGTCTTCTCCCTGTAAATGTTTGAGAAGAATCTTTGCTTGTCCCTGAGCATGTATCTTCTTGAAAGTTGATTCTGAAACCTGTATCACATAGTTGGCTTATGCTTATCAAGTTGTAGTTGAGTCCTTTTACCAACGAGACATCATTGATTGTAAGTCCTCCAATTTCAACTGTTCCTTTGCCAACGATTTTTCCTTTGGTATTTCCTCTAAAGGATACTTTTCCACCATTCAGATTGTGTAGATCAACGAATATACTTGGATCTCCTGTCATATGTCTAGAGCATCCACTGTCTAGGTACCACTTCCTTTTTCTCTTTGTGGTAACCTGCAAAAAACACAACATCTCAAGTTTTCTTTGGTACCCAAATTTGTTTGGGTCCTTGAGCATTAGTATAGGCTGTCTTAACAAAATCTCTTCTAACAGGTCTCCAGACCTTAGGACATTCATTCTCAAAATGTTGTGGATCTCCACATTTTGAGCACTTGAGTGCACTTCGACCAACAGGTTTTACAAAATTCCTTTTGAAATGATTTTTATAAGCTTGTCGAGGAGGTCTTTGTTTTAATCTCTCCTTGACCTTTGGAAAATCAATCAAGCTATCACTTTCCTTCACAAATCCGAGACCAGATTTGTTGTAGTAAGGAATTTGGATAGAAAGGATATGCTTCAAGGTTTCTGAACCCTTTGAAAATTTGGAAGTAATTTCTGAAACTTGCTTTTTCAAAACTGCATTTTCTTTGGAAAGAAAATCTCGACTTTCCTTGACTTGATGAAATTCTTTTTGAAGGAAATCGATTTTTTCTTTTTGTGAAACATCCTGTTGCCTCAGTGATGAATTTTCCTTTTTCAAAGAAGAGATGCATTTAAGAGCAGTCTTGAATTCAAAGCATAATTCATCAATGTAATTTGATACCTCAATAGGCATGTCAGAATGTTTTACCTCAATTTCCACTTTGGGATCGGAATCGAATCGAGTCCTGAGTCTCACTTAGCCATTAGGCAAATCTTCATCACCGTCTTCACATTCCGTGTCACCCGGTGCTTCGCTTTTAAGGCCTTCTTTGCTTTCTCAAACTTGGTCTTCTTTTTCAGAAGTGGACAATTTGGCTTGATATGTCCACGTTTCTTACAGTGAAAGCATATAACATCCTTCGATCTTTCTGTCTCATCGAAAGATTTCTTCTTTTCAAAAGGCTTCTTTCCCCTGAGGTTTCTTCCTTTGATCTTCATTTTCTTATACTTCTTTATAAATAGAGCTAGTTCTTCATCATCAACGTCTTCATCTTCAGAATCTGCATCAGAATCAATGTTAGTCTTCAAAGCAATTGATTTATTACCTTTGGATTCAATCTCCTCATTTCGTTTCTCAGTCTCATATGATTGAAGAGTTCCAATTAACTCATTCACTGATAGAGGCTTGATCCTTTGTGTCTCTCAAAGAGATGTTTTGATGTTGTCCCACCGATTTGTCATCCCTTCTCGTAAGTTTGTTGACTTTCATTGCATCTGGGAACCGGTTTGTCCTTGATAAGCAAGACCGTTTACTATATCGAAACCTGTCATATAAATCAGCAATTGATTCTCCAGGCTTCATTTTGAAAGATTCATATTGACCAAGCAGAAGATTAATTTGAGTTTCCTTGGCTCGATCTGTTCCTTCATAAGTAATAAGAAGAGTATCCCAGATTTCCTTAGCTGATTCACAAGCAGCAATTTTTTTATATTCAATAGGTGATAAGGCACAATAAAGAGAATAAATTGCTTTGGAATCTAAGGTTTTCTTTTGGATATCTCGAGTTTGAGATAATGGAGGATCTCGCTGCTTTGCTTGCATCCGCCTTTTCTTTTGAATCGAAGACTTTGGATTGACACCTCTGATGATGACATCCCATTGCATGTGATCAATTGACTTTATGAATGCCTTCATCTTATTCTTCCAGACACTATATTCCTTGCCATCGAAATATGGTGGTCTTGTTGTTGCTCTGTCCTTCAATGAGCCCTGGAGCACCATAGCTAGCCATATAGATCGTTAGCTCAGAAGTAAGACACTTCAATAAATGAGCAACCTGCTCTGATACCAATTGATGTAGCTAGCAAGGATCACCTAGAGGGGGGTGAATAGGTGATCTAAAACAATTTTTAGTAATTTATGCGGAAATGAAATAAATCACAGAAGAGTCTGAATAAAGTTCAGATTCAAGACAGATTATATAGACGGTGCTCTTGATGTGCGTAATGTAAAGTAAGAGATAAGGGAAAGAGAATCCGCACACAAGTTTATAGTGGTTCGGCTTTATAGCAAGCCTACGTCCACTCTTCCACGCTTATGCCTACCTGGCTTGGATTTCACTATGTAATCAAGAGGAATTACAATTTCTGAGTGTTAACACTCTTGTGTATGATAGGACTCTCTATCCCACACAATCACTCTTACAAAGTGTCCCTCAAGATCTTAATATTTGGCTCAGAATGACAAGAGAAAAATGATTGGATTAAGCTCAGACTTTGGACTTGTTGATTCTTGATTCTGTACTTCTTCTGCTGCTCATTGATCTCCTTAAATACTCCTCCACTTCCAAACTAGCCGTTGGACAGCATTCAGAGGATCATCTTCCAATCTTCACCTTGGACAGATTTGTATACTAAGGATTGAGTAGCCGTTGGATAACAGATTCTGAATCCCGCTGATTCTGGTCGCCCATACAATCAGAATCTTGGTTTCCATAAGTAGAACTTTGTCCGTTGTAATGCATTCTTGTCATGATGTTTGATTGTCAATCAGTTTGATTCGAGATTGAGACAATCGAACATTCCTTCGTGAAATCCATGCGGATCACTAGCTGTTGTGTTACGTTCAATTGCGCGTCGCATCGGAAGAACTCCGCGTCTGCGCCTCAAGACTTTCTGCGTCCCGAATAATTTCTTTCGCGTCGACGAATTTCTTCGTCTCGAATAATTTCTTCGTCCGCATTTTCATCTCGAATAACTTCGCATCCGCATCCGAATATCTTTCGCTTCTCGAATCTCGGAACTTCGATTATGTGGGTCTTCAAAAATATACTTGACAGCTTGTAAAGTCTGAATAACTTTCTTCTGAGCTTCCAGAATATACAGACCTTGAATAATTCAGAATAAGTATCAGATTTACAATAACATAGAAGGTTTTGTCAACTTCAAAATTAATAGGAGTTTTCCTCAACATTGGGAAGCCTTGTCAGTTCTTGCATCTCATCACTTTTTACTAACTGAAGCGTTTACCATCTCTGGAACTTCACGGATGCAAGATACGATAAGCGTAAGATTCATAGTGAGGGCAAACCCATCGGTTCTAGAAGGAAGTTGTCACGATTTCACGCACTTCCAGATTCTCAAGCATTCCCATGCACTGTTTGCATATGAATTTGATTTGAAGTACTCAGTTGAAAAGTACGACATACTTAACGATGTAGTTTCTTCACTCGGCGACACCAGCCCAGAGTCAAGCACTGGGTATTCATGAGGCCTCCGATTTCTTCAAGCAAATTTTCAAGATGATGGCAACCATGGATATTCAAGTCGATCAGACACTTTTACTTACCAATAAAGCTGTCAATTTTCCTCAAATTGGAACAGTGTTGGAAAATAAGGCTCTCTAAAGTCGAGCAACTAGAGAAGTCCGGTCTTGTGGTTATGTGAAAACAGCTTAGAAGGAAAAAAAAAAACTTTCAATTGCACTGCCATCTATAAAAAATGAACACCACTATTCATCAGATGAAACAATCACATATTAGTTGAATAGAATAGAAAAAAAGCTAACTTGACCAAGCTCCGTAGTTTCAAATCATCTATGAAGTCATTCTGTGAAAATGGAAGAAGGACCACATTCTTTAAGTGCATATTAGTTGGCTTAGACGTTCGAGGAGGATGACTCCAAAAATTCCATTTTAATTTGGTAAGACGATTCGCTAAGTTACCGATGAGGGTTCCCCATTTAAAAGCCATATGCTCTGCAGAGAACTTTCAAATTCTAAATCAATAAATTGTTGTGTGAGTGTTGACGTCGGTTTGTGTATAAAACTGAACCACTATAAATTATTGTGTGATTGTCTTCATTCACTCTGGTCTGCGTATCATCATCAGACACGCTGTTCTGTTTAAGATACCATCCTGAGCGCCGATTGTTTAGTATTCTATAAAAGTTTTTATTATCATCACTCAACCTATTCAACCCCTTTTTAGGTTGCTTTGTTAGCCCCAACAAAGTCTAGTCTTGTGATTATGTGAGAACACCAGGGAAGGAAAAAAAAAACTCACATTTAACTGCCATCCGTAAAAAGTGAATACCAGTATTCATCGGAGGAATGATAACATATGAGTTAAATAGGTTAGGAAAAAGCATGGCACACCTTGATTAAGCTCCCTAGTTTCAGATCGTCCATGAAGCCATTGTCTGAAAATTGAAGAAAGACCACATTCTTTTAAGTGCATATTGGTTGGGAGCCAAAGCTCGAGCTTAAAAGCAAAGACGAGTTAAAGAAACGAATGCCTTCTAGGCAAAAACACATAGGCCACAAATACGGTACAGACAAGGGGGGCCTTTAAACGTGGCCGACGGTGAAATCTTCTCGCTTTGCCTTGCCAGACGCCATTGGCATCAATTACAAAAAAATGGGCAAGTATGTCATCCTCCAATGCAGTTTGGAGTGTTTCTGTACCCTCTTACCTCTGCTTTCAGGCAACTTTCGTTCTGTACTCTCCAGTTCCGCCGTCAAAGAACCAGCCAGCTTGCCATCTTTTCCCGCAAACATCACATTAGGTCAAAGCTCAGGCATTGGAACAACACTCTCCCTCCAGCCTTCCCCTCTGCTTGCTTTAATTTCCGTTTGAAGTCGCTTTTAATGAAAGAAAAATAAACAGGGGAAGATGCAGTAAAGAAAACATTCGAAGATCGCCCATCGTCGCAACTCTCTTTCTCGCCTTATCCTCCTCTGCTTAAATTCCTGTTCCTGTTTGAAGTGGCTTCTAATCAAACTATAAAATCTCAAATAAGTATTTTAGGCGCTTTCAGAACACGCATCCTACGATTAAAAATATATATCATAAGAGAGGAATAGCTTCGCATTTAATAACGTCATCAACTCCGTGGAGTTAGCTTAATTATTAGGGAGCGGACGTATGCTTGCAGTTAATATGCACGGCATGAGTTCGATTTCTGACACTTCCCAGTACAAACAATTCATATTTGAGCCAACAAATCAAGTTTTGGCTCGAATCTTACTTGATTCATGAGGTCAACAACATATTTCATGGGTCTGACATCCACTTAAGATATAAACTTCCTTGCCACACAAAGACAAAAAAGAAAGGAGAAACAATATGATATTACCAGAAAATTACCAGGCCTAGACAATGCTAAAGTAAATTAATTACGCCACCAATCAAGCACTAGGATGGACAGAGTTGAAAAATAAAGCAATCAAATGGCAAGATCATGTTAAGCACAACGTAAACAACCACACCACACCACCAATAAGATGAATGCATGAACGATGACATTTTTCTGAATTAATGAAGTTTTTCCACTTATTTTGATACCAATTGACCTTGTCCCCTAGCTTATCCGAAATTTTAGAACTTTCTCATCGACGAAAAGGAAAGAAGAAGGGAAAAAAGGAGTAGGAACAAGAAAAGGAAAATGAGAAAACACAATTATGAAAATAAAACTTACAAGTGTGTCAAAATTTAGATTGGTGTCGGAACAAGTGACGTCGATTTGAATGCATCTTTCTCTATCGATGACATCTTCATTTGTCCGATAACAATATGTAAATTGAAACGCCAAATCTCTCTTTTCAGTTACTTAAATGTTAACTACGTTATACAGAGAAGGTTCAGTGAGACTCACCTTCTGGTGTCTGTAGGACTTGAGGGAGCCCCGAAAGTCTTCCTCACAGCCGGAGATATCTATGTGGCAATCATTTGGCATATCGTGCCATGATGATGGATGCCAATTCCTAAGTGCATTCTCGAACGTTGTCAACGATCCAAAATCTGGGAACTCACCGATGTGAAGCAGCCTGACACCCTGCAGCCCATCGTTGCCAAAAACTCTGAGATACTTGAGGTTCTTTAAGTTTGGCAAATACCGCAGACTTCTCACATTAGGACAACCAAAAAGGGTGAAGTATTCCAATGATTCCAATGTATCGGGAATGTCTATCCTGTATATCTCAGGGCAACCCCCAAGAATGAAACGTTGCAACTTCTTAAAGGATCTCGATGGAAGCGATATTGTCCCTTCCCAACGATAAGACACCCCATCGTTCCTTACTGAATAAACTAGACTTTCCAGGGATTGGCACTGTTGAATAGACAATGCCTCCAGTGATTTGGACTCCCGATGAAATTGGATCTCAACTAGCTTTGGACAATCTAAGATATCAACAACTTTCAACTTGCTCATCCATGGTAGCCTGAATTTCTCGAGGAGTACACAACTTACCACATGGAGTTCCGTTAAATTTCGAGGTTCAAACCTATCGAGTTGAAATACTTGCATTTGAGACCTAAAGAGCTCTAAATATGACAAATTTTGCAGGTTCGGAGAGAGTGACTCAACTGAATAAAAATTATCAAGGCGTTGCTTTTGTAGAGACAAGGGAAGTTGTGGAAATGTTTGAAGGTCCAACCCATAAAAATCAAGTTGGTTTAACAGAGGAAAGGAAGCCAGCTCAGCAGGAGCAGGGACATTGTGACGTCCAAATCTCGTTTTAGTCAGTTTGGGTAACCCCCGATCCACCACAACCTACTGTCACAAAGTTTATATCCTCCTTCTTCCCAACCATTTAGATCCAACTCCACCAAATTAGTCAAGTTGGAGAGATCCGGGGTTCCCCGCAACGATTCAGATGACACTAGTAGATGGGTTAAACTTGTTGGGAGCGCCGGCAACTCTTGAATCTTATTACATTCCTTCAACTTCAATCTTTGTAGGCGAGAAAGCTGCTTAACGGTCTCTGGAACTTCACTAACACCAGTATATGATAGATCTAGGGTTCTTAGAAAAGGCAAACTTCCGATTTCATAAGGAAGTTGACCTTTTAAATGCTCATTATTGACTAGAAGCACTTCCAGCTTCTGAAGCATTCCAATAGTACTAGGCAACTCCCATGAATTTGTTGAATCTAAGTCATCAAATCTACTTTCAAAGTGCACCTCACGCAATAGTTTCAACTTCCATATGGAACTTGGGAGTTTCTTCACTTTACACTCTTGTACAGAGAAGTGCTGCAAATTCACTAGATCCCCGATTTCTTTAGGCAAATCTTCAAGACCAAAGCAATCATAGATCCTCAGATAAATTAGACACTTCAACTTGCCAATAGAGTCGTCAATCTTCCTCAAATTGGAACACTGTTCGAAAGTAAGCCTCTCTAAATTTGGGCATCCAGAGAAGCTTGGTGTTTTGATTATGCTGTGACAACTTTCAAGAGAAAGAACTTTTAATTTTTGTGCCATCTGTCAAAATGAATGCAAAATTCAATGGACGAATATTCAAATATTACTTTCAAAGAAAATAGAATATAAATAACAATAATACTCACCTTGATTACGCTTCGTAGTGTCGAATCATCCATCAAGTCACTATGTGAAAATTTAAGAAAGACCACATTCTTTAAGTGCACATTGGTTCGCTTAAAAAACAACGGAGGAGGCTGCCTCCAGAAAATCCAGCTTAAATTGGTAAGACTATTCACTAAGTTACCATTGAAGGATCCACCATTTAATTTGAGGTGCATTAGATGTTCAGACCTCCCAATCTTTTCACTTAGAATGAGATCTAGATAAGTGTAGCATAGATTAAGACCCAGTGCTTGAACGTTGTTCATCTGCATATGAGAGCAAGAAATGAGCGGTATTCAGTATTCTATTTCAGAGGAAAAGGATTAAAAGGGAAAAAGAAGGAAACATAGTGCAGCGTGGAAGATTTTCTAGTATGGAAACTACTAGTTTCCTCTTGGAGTGCTTTACCTCCTCTGTCGATCTTATATCAAGGATCTCCTGGTTAATCCATAATCTACTATACTTTCCAGGATTTATTGGATTTTCTTGACGAACAAGTTCTCTTCCAAGATCTCTGAGTTGATCGTGCATCCAAAACTTATTGTTCTCCACAATCTTTACCAAAGACCTGTTAATGAGGACATCAACTCCGGTATCCGCAGAAAACTCACGATCTTTCCATATGTAAATTGCATTCGTCTTATCCATACCAATGAAAAGGCAAGCAATATCAAGAAAAATTTGTCGTTGCTCGGAACTTAAGGCATCATAGCTAATCTTCAACTTTCCAAAAACATCCTCGTGAGGTGCTTTGCTTAAATTATCCAATGCCTCTTGCCATATTCCTTGCCCTTTTTCATAGAGGAACGAACCAATTACTTCAAGAGCTAACGGAAGTCTCCCGGTGGCAGATACGATTTTTCTTGAAAGATCATAGTAATCATCTGAAGGAGAGTGGCTGTCAAATGCAAGCCTACTGAAAAGCTCAAGTGCACAATTCGTACTCATCACCTTCATTTCATAATCTAAAATATGATAATCTCGTCTATGGATTCGCAAAACATCTTTGTTTCTAGTTGTAATTAGTATTCTAGATCCTGAACGCAAAGTATTCTTTCCAACTAGTTTCTCCACTTGTTCGTTATTATCAACATCATCAAGTACAATAAGAACTTTCTTATTGGAAAGTGCTTCTCCAATCCTTTGCATTCCATAACCAATTTCATCAATACTCTTTGTTCCAGCATGAATGGCAATTTCGGATAATAACTTTTTTTGCAACTCAACTAAGCCATCAGTTCTCAATGACTTTGCTCGAACATCTTCAAGGAAACAACTATACTTTCCAAAATGAGAAGAGACACGGTTGAAGACGACTTTGGCGAGAGTTGTTTTACCGATACCCCCCATACCATAAATTTTAATGAGTCTCACTCCACCAGAGTTGACATCTAACAATTTATTTACTGCTTCAACTCGATCATCAATTCCAACTAAATGTTCAGTCACCAATCTATGTTTTCTCTTCAATTTTTCCACAACCTCCTCAATTACCAATTTGATTAGTTCACCGTGGCTGCCACAATAAAAAACCATTTTAGTGGTGGTTGGGGAGAGGAGGGGATGCAAAATCACGATTACCTGGCTAGAGGTGATGTTATTCAAGAACCGGAACAGCTACACAATAATCGGACAAGTAATGGACCATAACAATCTAGAAGTGACCTTCTAAGAGTCCTATTGGACACTAACATCACTCCAAAACAATGCTTTTATGCACTTGTAAACTTGTGTGCATGTCATTGACCCGAAATTTGACTTGATTCCAACATGAGATTAGCAATCCTAAGATTATGCTAATAACTTGCGCTAGGAGATGTACAAATATTGATGCATTGTAAATGGACATTTTTATGATTTATGCTCGAGCGACAAGTTATAAAAGTTAAAATGATATATTCAAGAGGAGATATGTTTAACGTGTGGAAAGATTAAATGATCAGATAGGAATGTGCATGGGATTTCATTATCCCATTTTTTTTCCTCCCACTACACCCAATCAAATAGGAGTTTAGCTATCTAGCTATTATATCATTATTCGGCCAATTTATAAGATGACCCTGTTATGCAGTTTCACATATTTTGACACGCGTGGCATAGGTGCGTCATTTAGTGTTATTATAGTAAAAGTCCCACCTCAGTCACACCGGAATTTTTACATCTATGATAAAGTGCTAACGAGAATTGGGGAAACAAGCATGTTGAAAACAGCTAGCTTACCCTTTGTACTTCTTCACTTCCCACCCCTTTATCGCGCCAACCTCCTTGAGAACCTCTCTCCATGCATTTACTTGCTCACTGCTCAGCTTCTTCTTGCTCTGCAAACTTAGTATGGCATTGGCATATAACGCAGTTTTCAACTTAACGTCGTCAGGTTCCACGTCGAAGAAAATAGGTAGAATCTCTTTATCACCTTCCGATTTGGAGGTGTTTGCCAAGATCTGCTCGAGCTCGTGAAGGCACCATTTGCTCGAAGCATAGGTCCGAGAGAAGATGGGTATGTAGATCCTGGAATTGTCCATCGCTCGCTCAAGCGATCCATCGATCCTTTCACCGAAAGGGAGCTCTTCATCGTCTCGGAAGACGCAAACTCCATGATCGATCAGGCTATGGAAGAGGACGTCAGTGAACCCAGTACGAGTGTCAGGTCCTCTGAAACTCAAGAACACTTGATAGTCAGTTCCCAATGCTGTTGCCGCATTTGAGCTCGCCATAGCTGTCGGTAGTTTGCTCGGCTTGGCGATCTCTCTCTCCCGTGTGTGGGCGGGTTTGGGGTGCGCCTGAACACTTCTTAGAATGGTAGATGAGAAAATGATCGAAACAGAAAGTCGTAATTTTTGAAGACGAAGACCATAGAATCAAATGCCGTCGGTCGATGATAAAGAAACCAAAGATGCAGGACCCATGTACGAAAACCAAAAAAAAAAATTAAGGGCTTTCTTTCTTTTCCAAAAGTTGAAATTATTATATGACTCCTTGGAAGACCAAAGAGTATTGGGGACGAAAAGTAGTCAGGATTGCCGGCCCTTGTGATAGAGAAAATATTGGGTTACCTCAGGTGCTGTCATATCAGCAAAATCATAATTCACTCAGTAATGGGCACGTGTTGCCGGGCCCACCTATGTCAGCCAAATTTTCAGTCCACCTCTTTTCTCTCGATCTCTCTCTTTCCCCTTCTCTCTCTCCTCCGCTTCATCCCTTTTCCCTTGTCTGACCTCGAGCCCTAGCCATTGCCATTGTCGGCCACGGCGAAGAGGACCCTCGGAGTCTCCGGCAACGGGCTCACCGCCGATGGATACTTGTCCCTTCGTGTGCCTCACGGTCGGGAACCTCGCGCTGAAAATCACTGTCGCCGCCAAGCCCGCCCGCTCCACCTCCACCCATCGTCCTCCCCCTGCTTCCGCAAAATCAAGCTCAAGAGCTTCCCCCTCCAAACCGCCATGGTCGCTTGACCACGAGCTCGTGACCATGGTTACTCGAGGTCGAGCTCCGTGGCCATGACGGCCGCGAGCCTCGGGCTCGCACTCCGGTGCCGGGGATGGAGAAGACGTCAGTGACGCCGATTTGGACGAGCTGTTAAGAGGCACACCGTCGTCATCTACTTTGGGTTTCCATGGAGAAGATAAGGAATTGCAGAGGAAGCGGCAGAGAGAAAGTGAAGAGGGAGTCTCGTGAGCGACATGAGGGGGGAGAGAAAGTGGGCTCCACACAGGAGAAAATATCCCTGACGGTAGGCCCGGGCGACACGTGTCCATCATTGAATGGATTATGATTTTGCTGATATGGCACCAGTTGGGGTACCCCAATATTAGAATGTGGTGGCGTCAGCACGTACTTTTAGTTAAATTATTTTAAAGAACAATAATATTTTTTTTAATTCACTAATGGTGTCGAGACGTTAATTTCCATATTTGCAATGACAATATTGCGTAAATCGACTTTTTCACACTTTTAGCACTTTGGTTAGTATGAACTAAGTATTGAAATACACGTGTAGATTGTGTTAGAGAAATCCCATATCGGAGAATTGATGTGGTGTTGAGCAGTTAATATATCCTAGTTGACATATAACTCATTGGCTTAAGCTTTTGAGTGAAGATAGGTTCAATTTGATATGTTGACGGGCTCGGACTTAAGCTCCCAGGGAGAAAGGTATCGAGCTTCTGCTGCGTGCTCCCAACAAATGGTATCAGAGCCAATGGTGGATTGACGGGCCTCCAATCTGTTAAGGTGTTTGATGAATATCTTAACAAAGAAATCTCATGATCGACGTTTGTCTCGGGTGGAATTACCATCACGGTTGGTCTGGCAAGAAGTGACCATGGACAGTTGATTTGATTACGCGAGATAGAGACCATGGGTGATGCAATCTTAAGTTAGCAGTTGATGATGGTGTGGGTTGTGTTAGAGAAGTCTCATATCGAATAATTGATATGGTGTTGAGCAGTTAATATATCTTAGTTGGCCCATAACTCATTGGCTTAAGTTTTTTAGTGAAGATGTGTCCAACTGAATATGTTGATGGGCTCAGACTTGAGCTCTTTCTTGGCGATCTCCTCAGGTGAAGGTATCGGGCTTCTGCTGTGCATTCCCAACACTAGGAACCAATTAAAAGGGATAAAATTCAGATAGATATGAAAGAAAATTAAGGAATTGGAAGAGAAATTAATGTTTCTGTCAAATTTTTATTTTTATTTTTTGTGAAACAAGTACTAATTGCACAGTCACTCATTCATCCTGTGAGGATATAAGCCTTGAGCAATAATAAGAAGTGAGGATTCCCCTCCCACTCACCAAGAATATGATTTTTTTTGTCCTTTCCTTCCTTTTAAAGTTTGGGGTTTTTGGTGGTTTTTTCCCTTTTCTTATTTTATCTTCCGAAAGATGTATTCAATTATATCATTTTAGATGCTCGCCTACTTCCGTTTTCTTTCTAAAATACATGTCTTCAACTTACTTTACGACGATACATGATCGTCGAATTTTTTTGCAACGAATTTCTAGGACAACATATGTACAAATTTGAATCCTCGAGTAATGGCGAAGTGATAAATTTTTTATTTTATTTTAGATAGGTTTGGATATGACAAAATATGTGTCAAAAAATGTGTTGAGACATTTTTATTAAGTATGCTTAACCAGACCCTAGTTTAATTTCCCCCAATATAGGATCTTTGTCGTTAATTGTAGTAAACTTCAAAAGATCGTTGATTATTTCCGTCCAATTCATCAGTCATAAAAATGATAAAACGATTCCCTGTAAGTAATACAAATAATCGAAATATATTATGGAGCCTTGGTCACCCCGAGACATATAACATCAAAAACTGAAAGTTGTACAAAAGATTTTTGGTACTAGTCCCTTCGTGTGAACAAAGGAACTGATATGACAGGCTGAGAGTTGCAAAACATTGACTGGTTTTCTTGGCCTGAGATTTTTAATAATAGAAGACCAGGCCTTTAATACTCTGATGACTCTCATATCTGCCTCTTCTCAACTGCAATTTGCATTTACTATATCAATTCCAAAGTTGTTAGCAGTTAGGAGAAATTATTACCAGATCAACCAGGAGGGTCCCGAGTACCGCCTTCATCACAAGGTCTTGCCTTTCGCCACGTAGCAGGCTCTGAGAACTCGTGGTGGTCCAGTGGTCTTTTTCAAAATATGAACTTTGATGTTTTGGTGAATTTGCATTTTGCACTATCCAGTAAGCAAGATTTTTATCAGCATAAGCCATCAGGCGAAACCCACACGTGCACACAGTAATTGGACCTCTCAGCAGGAAAACAGGAGGCAAAGAACACTTAAAAGAGTAAAATGTGTTTATTTTCTTGACTTAGTATTGTGAAGGGAGAAGAATACACAAATAATTCATTTAGATCAGGCATATCTGAATTGGTTTTACAGATGTGACCCGGGAAAAGGAACGGCAAAAAGGAGATGCCTCAGGTTCTTTTTTAGTAGATCGTGTCTCTCTATCTTCCTATATGCAGCTCTGTTTTATACACAAGATCTCCAAATCCTTCCCTCTAACGAAATAATTATGATGGAAATGTCGTCATGATACCGCCTTCGATCTCCTTGTGGTATTTCAAGCAAATCATGAAACTCGATGCCTGCAATAAAGCGAAAGCCAAATGTTAATATCATTCGGTTATCCTGGATTAAAGTAAACAATTTCTTCTTCCTTTGTTTTAGCTATGTCAACACGTACCAGCTTTCTTTGCTGCACGAAATAGCACTTCCTCAATGAGATGTTGAGCAGGGTCTCCTTCAGGTTGCAACTCGATGAAAAGCTAATTACTCTTTTAGGTGTGTGATAAGGAGAGCATGGGCGTGGGTATTATCGGTGGTTCCACAAGTGAGTAATAAAGCTCTTGTTCGTATTTTTTAAGAAATGCAACGTGCAAAGCATGTTCTTGTAGTTGTTGGGGGTGCTGACAAGGCACAACATGTGCATGAGTATGATGATAATGCTTCTGTATCGTGGCTTCTTGGCTGGCTCCGTCTCTTAAAGAGCTCTCTCCTTTTTGACCAAACAAACAATATGAAATCTTAAGCCATCATTAGCCCACTAATTAACAAATTGGAATTGAGCTAATCATGCTTGAGAAATTAGCACATACTAGATTTCATACTTTGGTCTGGAAATTGAACTGGTCTCGCTTGACTATCCAATTTCGAAAATCCGAGATTATTTGGGAGAAAATCGAATTGAAGAATTTGTTTTGTTAGATAATTTGATTGAAAAATTGCATTTCGATAAAACGGTTGACTGTAAATTTAGGTGGTTGATTCTTGTATGGCCAATTTGGTAAGGAGTCAGTCAACTGCAAGTAGTAAAAGGCCGATGGTTGATGGTCATAGACATAAAGCCTGCAATCTACACCTATTTATGAAATGTGTGGATTGAAATTGGTGGAAGGTCAAAAGAATGTGTCTACTACAACAATCCACATAAGTACTTGCCTTTCTATTTTTCATTTTATTTTTCGATAAACAAGATCGTGACATTATTAAGTTCATGAAAGCTGAAGGGCAGAGCTCGAGAATAAATACATGCAAAAATATGCTTTTTTATGTGCATTAACTTGATGGTTACTTGAATAGAAAGTTCGGCCATGAAATTAGATATGTAGCAAATCCGCAGATCAATTTGTATGCAACAGATTATTCTTGATCTTTTATGGTGGAGTGATTTGATAGCAGTAGAAGTGGTCATGCATAAAAAGACAAGACTTCTTGAGCTTTTTTAATTTATATATATTTTTATTTTCGACTCCATCTCTCCCTTGGATTATCGTGTGATTATGACTAACATTGCATACAATTATTCTCCATATGCTGTTAAAAAACCTTTGCTTTTTGTAAGTGGTTTTACTTTTCTTTCTTTTCATTTTCTCATTCTATTAAGAAGTTAGTGGAATCTTACGTAAAAAGATTGAATTGTTTTTTTATTATTAAATAACATGGAATTGCCAAAGCACAGGTCCATTACAATGCCAAAGCATGAGAGAACAAAGGCTTAAACAAAAAAAAGGGAGAAGCAATAAGTGGACCAAATTTTTTAAAAATTATCGCATATGTATAGTAAAGTCCAGAAATTTTCAAATAGGAGAATCAAATCCTAAAATTTTTAAGATTAGCGCAATTGAATTTAATGAAAATGCCGACATGACAGTTTTTTTAATGTATTTAAAGAGGGATGTGGTGCCAATGAAAATGCTTGAATAAGTTTGAAAAAAAAAGCTAAAAATGAAAAAAAAAGAAGGAAAAAACTAAAATTGTTTTACAAAGAAAACATAAGCTGAAAATCTAAAAAGAAAATCCAAAGATTGGAGCGAGCTACCAAACAAATAAGCCTCGAAGAGGGGGGTGCGATGCACTATTCAGTATTCACCTCAGATTATAATATAAGTTGGATCAGCTAATATACGAATCCAAACCTGAGTGGGTGGACCAAATGAAAACGGAAATTGTATCGTGTCGTGCTCCTGATCCATTCACACGACTCATTTATTAACTACTAACTGATGTTACTGCGTTTATCTGGTTTTCATATATAGAAGCTTAAACCCCATGAGCATGATTTTTTGGGAAAATTCCAAAAAGGGACCCGAAGTGGAGTCATTTTCTCAAATATGGACCTGAAGTGGACTTTGTTTCAAATAATGATCTGAAGTAGCTGATGAGTCTCAAATAAGGGCCCGAAGTGGCTGATGAGTCTCAAATAAAGGCCTGAGCCTTCCGACCGGCCAAATGTTCACCGGCCGGCGAGCAAGTGAATTTTCCGGCAAACGGAACAAGGGCACTTTTGTCCAAAAAGAAATCAAAATTTAAAGTTACCATCCCTAAAAATAAAAATTATGTTCTTCCCGTCTTCTTCGTTACCTTTGGAGACAACCCTAATCCTCCTCCACCATACGCACGACCTCGTTCACCACCGTTGCCGGGTCTGTCCAGGCACTTCTTGACCGGCGTCGGATTCACCGCCGGATCTGTCCAAGTAGTTGCCGGCGAAGAGGTCGCCGAAGTGCAACCGGCTCTCCTTCAATTTCCTCAGCACCTTCGCACACGAGACCCTCAATTCCCTCACCAGCCTTTTCCAAGTCTTCAAGGATGTGCAGATGGCCGACGCAAAGACCTTCGCTTTTCAGGCGGAGATCAACCAGCTCCTGAGCTTGATCATCAACACTTTCTACAGCAACAAGGAGATTTTCCTTAGCGAACTTATCAGCAATTCATCTTATGTACGTCTCTCTGCTTATTCCTTTTATTTGCCAATATGTGTCCGTGATTATACGTGTGCCCTGCATCGCATTGAGCAGTGAATGGGACACCTGGTGCGGAATGAATTTGAAGGCTAAAATATTACGAAAAAAGTCTTGTTTAGATTCGTCAATTTTACTATCGTTTTGAATCACTTGCATTGACTTAGGAAGAATTAGTCAGTGATGATGGGAGTCCACAGTATTCAATCATAGACCAAGACACAGTTGTCCCCTGCATCTTCAAGCCGTTGAACGAACCTCTGTCTTGGTTCACAATTGGGACAGTTTCTGAGTTTTAGATGAACTATAAGATCTTTAGGATTTAGTCAGAAGCAGCTAAACTGTCAAGGTTAAAGAGTGAACGTGTGAAGCGGATTAGTTCAAGGCAACGAAGTGTAGAATAAATTGAAGGCGAACTAAGTTTCTTATATCAGCAAACTCTAAGCACAATGATGTCGAGTAATACATCTAGGAATCGCAGGCTGGAGGTTCCTTCAGTCACAAGGGACGTTAATGGAGTGGATGTTAATCCGCTTCACACGTTCACTCTTTAACCTTGACAGAAAATTCACCGGTCACCGACCGGTGAACATTTGGCCGGTTGGAGGGCTCAAGCCCTTATTTGAGACTCATCAGCCACTTCGAGCCCTTATTTGAGACTCATCAGCTACTTCAAGTCCTTATTTGAAACAAAGTCCACTTCAGACCCCTATTTGAGAAAATGACTCCACTTCGGGTCCCTTTTTGGAATTTTCCCTGATTTTTTTGGGGAGGTCAAAAAATGAGCCTGATTTAACGATGTGCAAATTCTCAAATGCTCCAACCCGATCTATGAGAAAAGCCTTTTCTCATTGGTGCGAGACCAGATCAGACCGGAGTGCTAATCATGATTTTTGGCCGGGCTATATGACAAGTCCCAATTGTCCAACTGCTCGTCAGGTATTGCGTTGTCAATACAGGATGACATTTTCCATACATTATACAGTTCTAATAAAAACTCAGTCTAAGTCTAGCAAGTTAGCATCTTCATTTTTTATTTTTTTAAATTGACTTGAAGTGCCAAATCTCCAACTTCAATGTGTATAAAATAAACAATATTCATTATATCTCTACCACTAGATAAAATACGCGAAAATATAACATGATCTCCGACAGGAGTGTCATTATTTAGCGATCTAATGATTGGTTATGATCAAATCTAAGCATTGGTGGGAATAAGGGAAGACATGATGAACGTTTGGCATCACCGGCTCCCTTTTATTTCTCTCTCTCTCTCTTCAATTTCTTTTTTCATTTTTCCACACACATACATTTTATGTGACATTCTAAATTTTGACCCACTTGGTATTTATGAAATGCATAATTTCAATAACGCACTTGTAGTAAATCTCGCCCAGACTTGATCACTCTTGGGACATTAACCAGTAGGGAAATGCTAATTAGGGATCTAGATTCGCGCGACCATAGAACCTGACCGTGGACTGACTTTCGACTATGATGATTGTCGATGTGATATTTTGGGCTAATATAGACGGATCTAAGGATGGTCATGGATCGATTTGCGAATGTCGTATAATTGGATCGCGAGTGATTCTGCCTCGCAAGAATACGAAATTTGCGAATGATCTCAAACCTATTCCAAACGATCGCGTTCTTTAGAACTAATGATTGATCCTCGCAATTACATGACAATCGAGGTTACCATGGCTCGAGTGAACTTAAACGTAGCTCGATTTAGTGTTGACCACGGGTCGAATATGCGAATTTTCCCGAAAGCCGCCCTTAGTTTGAGATAAGCTCAAGTCGCGTTTATTTAAGTTTGACCATTAAATAGAGACTGAGTTTGGGTGTTGAAAATTTTGAAAATCATGATAGAGTAATTGGACGACGTCGTTATTAACGTGGTCAGCCTCGGATTTATCCGGATTTGTCAGAAAACTGAAATTTTGATAAGAAGTGGAAAATGACTGTTTTGCCCCTGGGGCTTTGTGAAGACCAAGTGTAAAATGAGAAGGGCATTTTGGTCATTTCATACCAACTTTAGAGATATAAAATTTTGAACGATTTTGGCCCTGCACTTTTGTGAAATTCCTATTTTACCCTTGGATATTTTTTTGTGAGAGTTGATCTTGGCCATCGATTTTAAGATAAGGTTGAATCGTGGCCGTCGGATGGAAAGTAGAAAGGAGGGTAGGATGGTAATTCCACCTTGGGAAGACTTTGACTAGCCTATTTATTCTTTTTCTCTCTCTCTCCCCTCATTTTCTCACGCCTCCCTCTCTCTCCCTCTCTTCTTGGCCGAATTCCCCCTTCCCCTCTCCCTCACGTGAAAGTGGCCAGCCGGCCACGCCTTTGACCGCCGCCGCACGTCCGTCCGCCGCCGTTCCGTCAAGCCGTCGTTTGCCCCTCCGCCTCGCCACACCACTTCCACCACCGTCCCTCTCTCTCTCTCTCTTGTTTTCCCTTTGCCGAAACACCATCACCGGCCTTCATTTCTAATCATCCCAGCTGAGAAAGACCAGCAGCT